CACTGATGTCAATTCCCTTCTGTCATGAATGAAGTTTCTTTACGATGTGGAGGCCGAAGACAATTTCTTGACTTTACTTCCTAACCATATCTTGCTTTCACTGGAATTTTACAAAGATGTAATGGTTACCGTAAATTTTCAATTACACGCTCAAAAAAATCCAACTATGTTGTCATAAATCTCGGAGGCGACATCACCGATCACCTGGCTAAGGAAGAGCTAGTTAAGACCACAGAGGAATTAGAAATTTCTTCTATGCAGCTGTTCGCTGTTTAATGTGTTAGAGTTTTTCTGTTTTAATTAGCTAATCCTTTGTCTCAAGCTCCTCCAGTTAATATTTAATTGATGAATGCTATTCTCGTGAGGAAATTGAACATTATTTTCCACACCACCACAGTTATTTTTTTCAAAAAATTGAGGAGACTATCACAGTGAAAACCATGAATAACAACAATAAAAATGACAAATTATAGATAATTATCCATGCGAAGGGAGATTTTATAACACTCCTCAACAGTGTAGCATGTTAATAAGAGGTGTTGAATCATTTTCATCAGGTGTTGGTTTCAACAGCATGGTGGTCATTTTAAATAGGGGATCGCTCTGTCAGGTCAGAGGTGATGGTCAGTTTATACTGGAGATCACTGTCAGGTCAGAGGTGATGGTCAGTTTATACTAGAGATCACAGTCAGGTCAGAGGTGATGGTCAGTTTATACTGGAGATCACAGTCAGGTCAGAGGTGATGGTCAGTTTATACTGGAGATCACTGTCAGGTCAGAGGTGATGGTAAGTTTATACTGGGAATCACTGTCAGGTCAGAGCCGATGGTCAGTTTATACTGGGGGTCACTGTCAGGTCAGAGGTGATGGTCAGTTTATACTGGGAATCACTGTCAGGTCAGAGGTGATGGTCAGTTTATACTGGAGATCACAGTCAGGTCAGAGGTGATGGTAAGTTTATACTGGAGATCACAGTCAGGTCAGAGGTGATGGTCAGTTTATACTAGAGATCACTGTCAGGTCAGAGGTGATGGTCAGTTTATACTGGAGATTACTCTCAGGTCACAGGTGATGGTCAGTTTATACTGGGAATCACTGTCAGGTCAGAGCCGATGGTCAGTTTATACTGGGGGTCACTGTCAGGTCACAGGGGATGGTAAGTTTATACTGGAGATCACTGTCAGGTCAGAGGTGATGGTCAGTTTATACTGGAGATCACTGTCAGGTCAGAGGTGATGGTCAGTTTATACTGGAGATCACTGTCAGGTCAGAGGTGATGGTCAGTTTATACTGGAGATCACTGTCAGGTCAGAGAAAGTGGTCAGCAACAGTACATATAAGCTTGATTGCCAATGGTTTATCCAAGTACCATAAAATCTTATATACAAATGTACATGTATCAATATTTGATGTTATTTCTGTGTACAAGGTGGAGAGGTACACATGGCCTTACAGTCACTGGTTATTAAAAGTGAGTCAGATCTGTAAGTCTTTCAAGCTTCACCAATAAACAAAACAAATACCAATGAAAACAATAAATCACCAGCAGCACCTTTTGTTTTCGAGGGGGAAAAAAATTTGTATGAAATATAACATGTTAATATCCTGAATTTGAAGGACATAAATTAACAGCTTGTCAAAAACAAGATAACAACCTATCAGCCTACGGTCACATCCGAGTCCTGTTGATCTGCTAATTAACTTGTTCTCTCCGGGGGCTAATTGACTCGTCTTTGTCACTTGGATCAATATCATTGTCTCCCCTTCCACGGCATAGTATACGGGATTGCTGTAGTCCACCACCTAGAGTTGAATACACTGACACCTTTTGAGTCAGAGTTTCGGTTGAGTCATATCCTACTGCGTTGGTATTGCGGACATGTAGTTATTCTGGTAGAGAGATTCTGATCTAGGTCACAACAGTGTTTGAATTAAATATGAAAGCATGTGTTGAGAGCAGCTAGGTCAGATGGGCATTCAGTTATGTTAGTGTATATACATTTGAACACCTCATATTGAACACCTTAACTTTCTGTTTGGTTATGGTAGTTAAATATAGTTGATATGCATCAGGTGAGATTCATACACACTATCAATCCCCAACTTTGTTTGAATTGTAACCAGTATGTAAATTGATTTGTGTAATTTGGTGTCAAGAACACACATCCATATCAGATCAATGTTTGAATTAAGTGTACATTACAGAACTCTGTACACTTAATCATGGAACGTAAACATTAAGGTTACCTTGAAGTTCTAACACATGTTACATATATTAATTAAGTATTGACAGAAACATTTGCTTTTTATGTATTCAATAATTATTTACATTTGTACACAGTTCCATGTATAATACAGTTCTAGACTTACAATTCAAACCATTTCTTTACTTCTTTTGCATTTGATCATGCATTTTGTTTGTTGATTCAAAGCCATGCCAAAAAATCTTCGAAGCAAAGGGAAGGAAATTGATACTTCCATGCATACACGAAATCTAATTTATACACAAGTCAAGTCTGAACAAAGAGCATTATTATTACAGATAACATTAAAAGACATCTGCTTTATCCTGTGAAGTTAAAGCAACAAAGATGACAGAAAAGTGGAATTTCTATTGTCAGTTACAGTGTATATTATCTCATTGTCACTTTAAGGTCCAAGTATGCATGATGTCAAAGAATATGAAGGACATTTGAATAAAGATCATCAGTGCCCACAAGTCAGTAGTAAATGGCTTTTTTCACAAGCACTTAAGTTGGGGATCATCAAACTTTACACATGCTGGCTTGTGTGCCTCCCTTGAGAAGGTTTATGGTGACATATTGGAGAATGGTACTGGAATACACATCTGTTGTCTAGGGCGACCAGCCACTGCAGTCTTCCACAGAAATCCTCTTTGTCATTTGTAATTCTTCATCTTCATATCGCTACATGTGACAAATTTGAAATTAGGGAATGGCGCTATTGCCAATTAATGTAATTTGTCATATGTATGCAAATTAGTACCAGAGCGTGTTCAGACTTGTAATGAAGGATTTTCATAGCAAAAGAAAAGCTAAGGGCCCATAAAATCAAATCCGGAATTGTATATGAGTCAGGTTAGTCTCTATGGCTTTATTATACAAATGTTTTTCAAGTCCTCAGTTTAAAAGCTACCAACAGAGGCGTTCCAAGCTCACAAACTGTGGTCCCAATCGGTGTTAATGGGAGCTTTTAGCCACTGTAACTTCGTTATCTGTTACATCACCACGGTAATACTTGTTAGACTCTGATTGTATTTCAAGCGCAATTAACGACAAGCATGTGATCCTCTATCATCATAGCTTCTCAACGGAACTAAATAACAATTACATTAGTGCCGTAGAATTTTGTAAACAGTGTCATAATATTGCTATAAACTCCTTCGATCTTGTGGTTGACAGTCGATGTGGTAACTAGTTGAACATTCGTGATAGTAAACGATGATAAATACTGATTTCTTATATTATCATACTGTGATGTTGATAATTTGTTTTCACTCAACCAAGTAACATATTGTAGGTAAAATGAAAGTAATTAAAATCTCATTATAACACAAATCTGACTGCATCTACTAAAGAACCTATACATATAATCTGATCACTTTATTTTTAGAAACCTATTTAAACCAGCTTCTACCTTTAATGCATAGATATTAAGTGATTCCTCTCAATTACTTGTCAATTTTAATAGCTTTTTGTGATTAAAAAAAAATCCAAATTATTTTATAGAATTTGATATAGAATATCAGTATCATGCATTTTATAAAATTTGCATAAACATGTAAACAACCTTCCTACCAATCCTAATGTTTTTTGCTTATGAAAATAAATTTTGAATATATTTCTTAATTAACACGTGTGTTGACATGTTCCCAATTCTCTGACAAATGAACTGATCAACCAGTTATAATCAAGGTATTTAGTTTTAAATTACTTCAATCTAGTCTTAGATATTGGATATCATTATTGCATCATAATACACATTCCGGCAGACCTGATCATCAAATTTGAAATCCAAGTCACAATTAACAATAAAGATTATTCTTTGCCGCTTGAATTTAATTCCATCAGTTGTACAGATTTTATACAATGACAACTGTGGTGGAGGATGGTGTTGGATTAGACTGGCATTTCTCACTTTACTGTACATTCAGCGAGACATGATAGCTTAAAGTATAATTACTATCATGTAGTAATGGATCCATTGAGAGCTACAATAATAATGTCCACATGCCTGATTTCCTGAACAGATACACTAATTCTACATTAAGGATTTCCCTGTTTCATAATTATATTCTGCCAGGTCCACAGTGATCTTCTAGGGTTTTCTTAACAGACATTTGAATATAAAAATGTTGCCATTACACAGACAAAAAATGATTAAATATATATTTTTTTTTAAATTTTTCTGTCTTTGTTTCGATATTGTTTGTGTCATTGTTGATAATTTGCATTTGTAATGAACAGAGTAAACATGTTAAGGAACATCATAGCTGTTTTGTATTGATTAATATGAATTAGTTGAGCAGACTCTTTAAGAGGAAGTGTTGTGTTCATGATAAAGTTATTTACATTGCACATTTCTTGTGGTTAGAACTGTTATTTGTTAGAGTTGTAGGTAAATTGTCTGTATATATGAAATGTTAATTGAGATACAGGTTAATATCCAAGGGCCTTTTTGGTTGAAATTATCTTACACTAAAGCCAATTTCCAATATCTTGAAATTATCCTCTTGAAAATTTTCTTTCAAAAATGGGGCAAAATTGTCCCTTTCCAATTCAGTGGGGGGAAAAAAGTCCTGAATTGTGAACAGGAATACTTATAGTCAAAATTATTCAAATTTATGTAAAAATTTTGTGAAACTTTAACAAATGTTTTAAAACTGAGGCAAACATTATTTAGATTACTTGAAGTTTTTTTCATTCCATCATAAATGTTGAAAACTTGTGATGAATGGGTGTCTTATTTGTATTTTGCAGAGGTTGCCATTCAAATTCCACCAAACAACAAAGATGCCATCCAAGGGGATAATATCAAATTCATCTGTAAGGTCCATCCTGACATCCAGAACTTTCACATGAAATGGAAACATAACAGTGTCGCTATAGATACATCCTCCAATGTGGAAAAATATAAGGAAATGGAAAACGGACAAATTTTCTTCATTCGTAATGTTGACCGCTACGATTCTGGAACATACACATGTGTTGCTACATCTGGCAGTGATAAAGACCGGGCATCTGCAACATTAACCATAAAAAGTAAATATTGGAATTATTACCAGTAACAGTAAATACAGTTGGACCCCATTTAAATTATTTCATCTGTCAAGCCCAAACTTTTCACCTAAATAAAAAAAAAATTTTATCGGTCCTGCTGACTTCAAAATAATAAAGTTCGACTGTATTTATTTTCATCAGTAGATTTTGTTTTAGTTATCAGTAACATTGACCAGCAAGCTTGACCACCAATAACCTTCATTTTATCATGAAAAGATTGACAAAAACTGACATGCCACTGAATTGATCTCTTACATGTGTAGTGGTTCCTTAATCTTTAACATGTCATGTGATCCCTTAGCTTCAACATGTCATGTGATCCATTAATTTTAACAAGTCATGTGGTCTCTTAACTTTAACATGTAATGTGATTTTTAACAAGTCTAGTGATCCCTTAAATTTAACATGTCATTTGATCCCTAAACAAGTGTACTGATTCCTTGATATTATTATCTTTGATATTCCATAATTTTGAAATGTCATGTGATCCATTAACTTTAACATGTCATGTGATCCTTTAACTTTAACATGTCATGTGATCCTTTAACTTAAACATGTCATATGATCCACTAACTTAAACATGTCATATGATCCACTAACTTAAACATGTCATATGATCCTTTAACTTTAACATGTCATGTGATCCCTTAACTTTAATATGTCATGTGATTTTTAACAAGTCTAGTGATTCCTTAATTTTGATATATTTTGGATTCAAAAATTTTAACATGTCATGTGATCTCCTAACTTTAACATGTAATGTGATCCCTTAACAAGTCTACTTATTCCTTGATTTTAATATCTTTGGGATTCCCTAATTTTAACATGTGACATGATCCCTTAACTAGCGTTTGATAGAGTTTCCCTTAAAAAATTATTTAAAGCCGCAGAACTGATTTGAGATCTATGTAATATAAACATGAAATCTTGTTAACGCTATTTCTATTAAGAGTTGTTATGTGTCATCTCAACTTTTATCCCAAGGCCGAAAGAGGAGAATAGAACGTCTTCTCATTATTTCTGAAGCCCTTAAAATCCATCATTAATGAGATATACAGTGTTACAAGGGACCAGTGATGCTAGATTTTTTTTGATGAGGTAACATTGAGCATTAAATTTTACGACACAGACAATCCAATTGGTGTCCTTGCATATTTGACACTTGTTCCACTTAAGGCACCATGGGGACTGTGAAATGTGGAGGCTCATGCACAATTGGAATCATTGTTTAGAATTTGTAACAATAGTATTGCAGCTGCTAGGGGAGAATTTTCTCTGCCCTGATCTCATAAACGTAAAAGTTTCATATGAGTCAGACCAAGTCACTCAGTTAAAGTTTATAGCTTTAAAAAGGGTTGTCTACAAAATAGGAAGACTGGTTTTACATAAAAGGTAATCATAAATTACAATTGCTACAACTTTATGCCAGTTTCTTTCAAAAAACAACATATGTTTTAAAAGGATAATTTTTCTTGTTTAAAATCTAATTTATGATTGGTGAAAAAGCCCCAACACTGGTTCAGTGATTCAGTTTAACGTTAATAGAAATTTTAGTGGAATTGTGGACTGTCATTCATGTTTCTGGAAGGTTTACAGTGTTTTGATATTTATCTACAAGGCAATCCTATTGTATGACAAAGTACAGCACTCTATAGACTATAACTATTTTATATTACGTAGTAGTGGTCCTATGGAACATCAGCGCTTACAGGAATTGATCTGATTCTTAGAAATGCTTGACAGCAGTGGACATTCGATGCCAAGAGCTCTTTTACCATAGTCTTTACTTTGAGACCTGCTTCACAGTTATCTGCAAACCCCGACCAGAAATACCACAACTTGGATAATTCTTTAATTGTACCCCTGCATCTTGTAGTGGACTGGATTAGATTAATGAATGGAAGATTCATTTACGAACATTGGGGGTTGCTTGATTTCAGAAAGAAATCAGGAAAGAAAACATAACCTTAATCCACTCTGTTGGATTATGCCAGGAATATTTTGTTTCAAAACAAATGTGTGGGTTTCATGTTTTCAATAAAAACTTCCTCTGGTTGCCATAGCAAAAAAGGTCCTGGTTCCACCTGATTTGATCACTCAGGACTTCATTGTTTGGGGACAGTTGTTGATGCATTTGAGATGTTGTGAGAAACAATAAAATTGACAGTTTAAAACTAAACCAGATCTCCTACCACTCAATCAGTGTCTGGTTAGCATGGGGAAAACACTGCACTCTGTTTTTTAGTGTAATATTGAAATGGCACTACGTTCATGGTCTGTCATCTGCCCATTTGTTATTAAGCAATTTTTTTTCTCACTATTTTTTGAGAAGTGCTGGATGGATCTCTCTTAAATTTCATATGTAGGTTTCCCTTGGTCCCTTGTCATGCCCATTGGATTTTGGGTTTGATCAGAATCACAAATGGCAAAATAGGCAGCCATCTTGGATTTTTACATTGAAGTTTGTTATTGCTATCGTTCTCAAATTCCATTGATCCCCTAGTCATGCCCATTTCACTTTGGGACTGATCAGGAAAGTAAAGGAAAGTAAAATGGCCAGTAGGCAGCCATCTTAGATTTTGACTTTTAAAGTTTGTTATCGTAAAGTTGTTATTGTTGTTCTCTCTCAAATTTCATAGGTGTAGGTTCTCCTTGGTCCCTAATTGTGCCCGTTTGATTTTGGAACTGATCAAAAAAAAGCAAAATGGACAGCAGGCACCCTCTTGGATTTGACAGTTAAAAATTATTAACACTATTTCTGCAAAGGAATGTTCAAATTTCTTATCAGTAAGAGCAAAAACAGAGAAGAGAAAATAAGGGAAAACATCCAGCTTTCAAAGAACAAACAATGATGTGCACCTATATCCCTCTGCAATCTCTTGTGATGGAAAATATGTTCCCACAAAGTGAAATGATTACCTGATATCAGAAGAAAAGTGAAAGACAAAAGTTAATTTTTTTATATAATTGAAAGTAATACTTTTTTTCTTTCATTTCTTAATTTGTTTTACTTTGTTTACTTTGAATATTGTATAATATGTGGTGGTAAGATATGTCAGTCAGGAACAATACACTGACAAAGTCACTCTAAACAGTCTAAATAGAGACTGTTTTTGAACAACGGGTTCAACTGTATATACAGAGAAAGCCACTCTAACATTACAGAGGGAATATATTTAGTAGTGAAACTGGACGGGATTGATTGTCAGCAACCAGGTTAGGCCCATTTGAATTTGTAGAGTTTGAAGGGTTCTGGGTTTGAGTCCTGCGTTTTCCTGTTCCTATTACAAATTTGATGCCATGTATGAAACTCTTCTTATAACTTGTATTCAGTGTTTTTAATCATTTCTTATATGAATGAATTATCTATTTTACAGCTACTCCAGACCCTCCTTCTAGAGTGGAAATTGTGTCCTGTTCTGGACTCATGGTAGAACTGTCCTGGGATGCCGGAGGTGATGGTGGCTCCAGTGTAATATCATATCTTACTCAATTCAACACTTCAGACAATCCAAACTTTTGGAATAACTATTATGAAGAGATTCAGGGAGAAAAAACGACAGGTATTGTGAACCTGTCACCGTGGGGAGAATACTCATTTAGGATGTTAGCAAGAAACATTATTGGTTACAGTGAACCAAGTCAGCCCACACATTCATCTTGTTCAACGCCACCTGACCATCCGGGCGGAAATCCTAAAAATGTCCGCACACTCACTCATAAGAAGAAAAAGTTGATCATTGCATGGATGGTAAGTTTGGTAAATTATTCACTTGCAGGTTTTGTGAACATTCTGTATAGTATTGAGGCAACAAAGTCGTACAGGACATCTGGGGCTGCTGTATACGTGTTTATGTATGTATATAATGTATTTTGTAACTACACTGGACTGCTTGAATTGTGTTTTGGGATATACTGTTTAATAACAATTTGCATCTAGAAATACTTAAAAATGGTGTTAAAAAGTCTAGAAATAAATAGCTAGGACTATCAGAACCAAAACTCTTACTTGGAAGAAAGCTGCACTTCTGTACTTATAGAAAGATGGAAAGATCTATAATTATACGGACTTTAAATTCTGGTGACCTCTTCTGTCTGTTTAAACCTCTAATTTTCATTGATAAATACTGAAATTCACTGGTATTCACTGATAAATAAAAATGTCTACCTCGTTCTATATTAGACAGTATATTTCAATGAACTGTAATTTACCAATGTCAATTCCGGGTCATAAAACATAGCATCCCAAGTCTTAAAATGTTTTTATGTAGACAGCTTTAAGAGATTAGAAACAGCAAAACGATACATTACATAAAACCTGACAAATCCTAAGGCTGTATACACTTTCAGTATTCTACATGTCAAACCTGTGAAGTTACCAAGGAAACTGCCTTGTCATCACTTCTGTTTCCAGATTCTCTCCAATATTGATAATTTGGAAAATGACATATCGTTTTTGTTATGTCATTTTCATTTCCCAAAGTGTAAGAAAGAAAATTAGTGGAAATGAGTTATTACACTTGAAAATGAAATTGTCGTGAGTAAGTACACGTAGTGTTCTTGAAGAGTTCTCTTCTGATGAAACATCTAATCAGTTTTCCCTGTGAAAACACTCTGACTTGATAAGATTTGTATTGTGATCACTTGGCAGTAGCTGCAGAGATCCATATTAACCGTCCAAGTCCTTCACCAACTGTTTGTATTGGAATAGCATGACAATAGTTAAGGATCCACATATTTGCCAAAGTCCTCCAACAATTCATACACAGTAGTTCTGTTTCTCATCAACATTTTCATCAATAATTCATTACAGTTGATTGTCTAGATTTACTTCAATTAGCAAGTAAATGTCACAGAGAAGGATAAAACATAACTTTATACTTAGGAGTAAGTTAGCCTTAACTCAGGTAAGACATTGGTCTAAAATTGCATAAAACTTATTTCAATTTTAATAAAATTTTGCATTAACTTTTGTAAAACTTTATCTAAACTATGGTTAAATTAATTTTTTCAGCTGGGGTAAAACTTTGCTTAAATTGAAACCATTGTCTAAGTTTGAGTAAATTTTGGTCTTAATTCAAATAAAACTTTGCTTCAGATCAGTGAAACTTGGGTTGAATTCATTTCTAAATCAGGTAAATATTAGATAAACTTTATGTATACTTGAATAAAATTTGGTCTTAACTAGGGTGAAGTTGTCTCCTAAACTAGAGGAATGAGGTTTTGTCTTTAAGCGGGCCTTTTTTTGGGCCCTGTAACTTTACGTTTTTCTTTTCTCTATAATCAGTCCCTGTATTTGGTCCCTTAACTAAAGGAATGGGATTCTGTCTAAAAGCAGTCTCCTTAATGGGCTCCTTACAGGAGTGAGGTTTTTTTTCTACAGTCCCTGTATTGGGCCCCTAAACAATATTCCAATCTATGCATGTGAAGTGCTAATATTTCAATTCCATTTGAAGAAAACGGCATTGACTACTGCCTGTTATGGGAACCAGACCAGAGTCTGTTGGGGTGATAGAATATTATAGAGCTTAATTCAGGAAATTTACAGTACCGACATTACTTCTGTCTTCATAGACAGTGTGGTGCCCAAGATATAAGATAGTAGAATAAAGGAATTTTTATTCCTGCAATGACACAATCACAATTATGTAGCATTTTTTTGCTTCCCAAAAATTTTTGAGGAGAATATTGTCGCCACTTTGTCGATCTGTCTATCCTTCGGTTTCTGCAGCATAACTTTGTTAGCAGTTAAGCAACAATCATGAAACCTGATATATACATTGGTCATACTAAGACGATATGCAATGTACCAAATTTAGGGCCTGTGACCCCTTCTTTTCAGAGTTATAGATTTGTGTTAAAATTTTGCGATGGGAACATAAATTGGTTTCCATTTATAAGTGATGTATACATTGGTCATACAAAAACATTGTGCAGTGTACCAAAGTCAAGGTCTGCAACCCCTCAATTACAGAGTTATTGCACTTTTTTAAAATTTTGTGTCAGGTATATATCTTTGCCTGCATTAAATCTAGGATAATGAAACTTAGTTTATACCTTGATGATGCTAAGAAGATGGATTGTACCAAATTCAGGGCCTGCAACCTTTTAATTAAAGTTTAAGATATATAGTGCCCTTTGTTAAAATTGTATGCCCATAGCAAAACTTTGCTTTTATTTTTACTAGGATAATGAAACTTTGTATATACAATGGTCATACTAAGAGAACGAGTGGACAGTGTACCAAATTCAGTGCCTGGAACCACTAAATTACACAATTATTGCCCTTTGTTAAAATTTTGTGTCAAATAAAAATGTTTTCAGGAAGCATTCATCAGTTTCACTGATTCTGTTTCAAAATTTAATGTCTTTATATACATGTACGACCACTAGATCATTCAGTGTTTAGAGATTTAGTTATATATATTTCATGATGATTCAAGGAACCTTGTCTTCTCGAATTGTTTCCCTTGGCCATTGATAACTGGATATTCATTTTTGTCCATGTTTTGTTTTCTTTTTATTTGTGAGCCCTATCAACAAATGAATTCACATGAGGAAATAGAACACTGCAGAGCTATACCTAATGAGTATGTCGCCATTAACAAATGGGCCATCACTGTCATGTGTGTGTAGATCGCATGCGGAAATAGATTATATACGATAGAATGCTAATTTGTGGAATAACTCAAAGGCTACAGCATTGTTTCATTCAACAAGCTATTGTAATGAATGCCAGGCTGTAGAAACGTTTATAAAAAAAATTAGAAATATGACGGATTTATACAATATTTGTATGTTGCATACAATTTGTAGTTACATTGTAGCCTCCTGAACTCATTTGATACTGGGAGACAGAATTATTCTTGAGTACACACAGGATCAAAAGCCGAAGCAGTCATGTAAATAGGTTTGATTCATATATGTTCTTATAAGGGATAACATTTTGTTATCATCATCCTACAATTCTACTGCAGGAAACTATATGCAGAAATGTTACTATTCTTATTGTACTTAAAAAAGTCTTTCACACAAAATGTTTTGCAGATATATATTGGAATAAGTTGAAAAAATTCGCTTGAAAAACAAGTATATATAATATTTGTGTATTTAGGTTATTTTAAGTACTGTAAACATCAACATTTTAGAAATAGTCGTATATTAGTGGTAATTTATTATAGCACTTTTCATGCAGAGAGTATTGCGCTAAAATATTACTGCATGTATTATATGCTGCTGCTATGAATGTGTGAACTTATCACTGTGCTAATTAGCCAAAAGGTGATTTTGTGTTAAAATTTTATTGCCCCAAATTAGATATGTTGACACCATATCTATATTTACCAGTCATGGTATGTATGTAGTAGCATACAGGTATAATTATACCACTAGTCAAAGGCAAATTATACCTGTAAGATTAGGTAGCCTTAATTCTAGTCATTGGTAAATCATGTTAGGGAGCATATTGCCTTAATTCAGGTGATAGTCAATGGTAAATTATATAAAATGGCTTAATACCTTAATTCTAATGCAAGAGTCAATAGTTAATCATATTAAAAAAATGGCTTAAAGCCCTAATTCTATAGTGACAATCAATGGTAAATTATGTAAGATGGCTTAAAGTCATAATTCTATAGTGACAATCAATGGTAAATTATGTAAGATGGCTTAAAGTCATAATTCTATAGTGACAATCAATGGTAAATTATGTAAGATGGCTTAAAGTCATAATTCTATAGTGACAATCAATGGTAAATTATGTAAGATGGCTTAAAGTCATAATTCTATAGTGACAATCAATGGTAAATTATGTAAGATGGCTTAAAGTCATAATTCTATAGTGACAATCAATGGTACATTATGTAAGATGGCTTAAAGTCATAATTCTATAGTGACAATCAATGGTAAATTATGTAAGATGGCTTAAAGTCATAATTCTATAGTGACAATCAATGGTAAATTATGTAAGATGGCTTAAAGTCATAATTCTATAGTGACAATCAATGGTAAATTATGTAAGATGGCTTAAAGTCATAATTCTTTAGTGACAGTCAATGGAAAATTATTTTAAAAAGATTGGCACAAAGCCCTGATTCTATGGTGACAATCACACAGAGTCTTATTTCTAGTGCCAGCCAAAGGCAAAACATGTAAGGTTAGTATAGTAGGGAATAGTATTTTCCCCTGCTGTAAAACATAAAAGATTGAGAGATAGCATATAGTCTTAACTGTAATACAAATCACCTATATGATGTATATCGTGGAATGCTGTTAGCGGTTAAACAAAACCTGTTAGAAGATATCTGCTTGAACGTGACATAACAATACCCGAACATTCATGATGATGTTTGAGTGTCGATGTCAGTTCCTGTATTAATCATATTCTACTTGTGTCGTGAATTTATGGCTTTTGTTTTTTGCTGAATATAGAAATAAATGCAGTTATTGGCTACAAAACCTTTCTATTTGCCTTTCAGCTCAGAAAAAATATAAATACCTCGACAGGAATCTTGATTATCCGGTTCTCCCGTATATATAGTCTATACTTGTATGATAGTGACAGCACATAACATCAGACTGTCTCTCATAAAAATCAAGTTGTGACTAATTCTTCAGTAAATGTCAGATGTCTAGCACATTAATCTTGCTATCGTACGTAAATATAAACGTGGTTGTGTGGTTATGATGTCTTAAAATGTCTTAATGAGTACTTTTATCATAGGTTGTCCGGTTCATAATGGTGAATGATGTCGGACAAAGGAGAATAATCAACTCTTTGAGCTAGATGATGTTTTCTCGTAAGGACTACCAATATATCAGATGTAGATTTTGGCTATGTTTGATGATAAAGTAATCCTGCCTGCAATTGTTATAAGAATTAGATAATCTCAACTATTTCTACTTCACAACAGCATAATAATCCCCACTATTTCTACGTGATAATGGAATAATCCCCACTATTTCAAGGTGATAATGGAATAATCCCCACTATTTCTATGTGATAATGAAATAATCCCCACTATTTCAAGGTGATAATGGAATAATCCCCACTATTTCAAGGTGATAATGGAATAATCCCCACTATTTCTAGGTGATAATAAAATAATCCCCACTATTTCTACGTGATAATGGAATAATCCCCACTATTTCTAGGTGATAATAAAATAATCCCCACTATTTCTACGTGATAATGGAATAATCCCCACTATTTCTAGGTGATAATGGAATAATCCCCACTATTTCTAGGTGATAATAAAATAATCCCCACTATTTCTACGTGATAATGGAATAATCCCCACTATTTCTAGGTGATAATAAAATAATCCCCACTATTTCTACGTGATAATGGAATAATCCCCACTATTTCTAGGTGATAATAAAATAATCCCCACTATTTCTACGTGATAATGGAATAATCCCCACTATTTCTAGGTGATAATGGAATAATCTCCACTATTTCTAGGTGATAATGAAATAATCCCCACTATTTCTAGGTGATAATGGAATAATCCCCACTATTTCTAGGTGATAATAAAATAATCCCCACTATTTCTACGTGATAATGAAATAATCCCCACTATTTCTAGGTGATAATGAAATAATCCCCACTATTTCTACGTGATAATGGAATAATCCCCACTATTTCTACGTGATAATGAAATAATCCCCACTATTTCTAGGTGATAATGAAATAATCCCCACTATTTCTACGTGATAATGGAATAATCCCCACTATTTCTACGTGATAATGAAATAATCCCCACTATTTCTAGGTGATAATGAAATAATCCCCACTATTTCTAGGTGATAATGAAATAATCCCCACTATTTCTAGGTGATAATGAAATAATCCCCACTATTTCTAGGTGATAATGAAATAACCCTACTATTTCTACGTGATAATGGAATAATCCCAGACTTTTTAATCCCAGATAATTCTAGGTGATAAGGAAATAATCCCAGGTATTTCTGAATGACATAAATGAAATAATCCCAGTCTTTCAGATTTCATTTGCCTAAATGGATTGATAATATAATGCTTATAATAGGAAACATGTGCCTATATTTTTATTTCTATTCATGCGATAGAAATGCATTATGGGTATTGTGTATCTTTTCTATTGAGTTGACACGTACAAATATTCATCTGAAGTAACCATAATGTCAATTAATATCTAGTCTGTTCAATGCTGATGGCTCAAGATAAAGATTACACAGGGAGTAAATTTGGTGTCTAATTGGGGACCTACACCATATTATTACTGATATCGTGGCAGACCGGCTAGTAGATGGATTAGGCAGTGATGAAGCTTCCCGTGTACCTTTGTCGAGGCACGTGTCACCAACCAGTATTGCTAAATGAGATTGTATCTTTCCAAGTCTAGACGTGACAAAAGATGGAAGCTAGTATTGAGGAAGAAACTGATTCCTCTGCGTGCTTTGGAATGTAGGTTATGGCGAACTTACCATGGTGAGGCTGTTGATGCTCTTTGAAGACTTTAATGCCTTAAGCCAGCAAATATCACCAACGTGACATCAAATATGTACAGCTATTTATACCTGTCAGTCCAACAACACATTATAACTATCTCTTAAGCTTGTCACAAACAATATGTATAAATCAGGCCCACAGTGTACTTTATTCTCAGAAATTCTATGCGTTGAATTGCACTTTATAGCTTAAACATTACCTTCTTTGTATTTGTCTGATTCTTTAAAATGTAGATATTCCTACTCTACAGATTTTTTATCTTCATCAATTAACACGAAACTTTGATACACAACTTCTCAAATTATACTTGAAGAAAGATGAAATGAATAGCTATCATAAAACACCAATATTTTGTCATCGGACGGTAGAATCAGATGTTTTTGTATCCATGGTAACAATGTTTTAGTTGTCATATTTGTGTAATACTATATCATGATGGAATCATGAAAACTCCAATAGCACAAAGACTTACAGATTTGTTGAAAGCTTGAATCAGTTTTCAAATTTCCTCTTATTTTCATACAGATTTTGTTGAAATACTGGATCTTATCACTTTTCTCATGTCAGCGAAAATCAAATTTACATCTAAATTTTATTCAAAATGATAGATATGCCACAGCAGTGTTTCCATCACTGTAATTTAATCAGTTTCTCATGTAATTCATTTAGTCTCAATATTTCAAGCGAACTCATCAGCTCGATGAAACCTAATTGCACAATTAGTGTTGAAACATTTGATGAACATACAAGCAGTGATGTGTACCAAGCTTCCATCAATATCATTTCAATAAATGGATTAAAGTTTTAAGCTTCAAGGATGCAGAATTAAGCACATTTAAAGAACAAGTTGTTTCCATTAATGTATTTTAAAATACATGACTCCTGGGGTTCGTTGAATGAATGAGTTTGTGGGAGTGTTTTTGCGTGTGTATGAATTGTACAGATCTTTGTGCCGTTTAAGATGAGTGTCTCATGACTCCAGAGTGAGGCTCTTGTCACTTTCTGTCTACCAAGTTCATTGTGGATATGAATCTTATCTGACAGCCTTCCCAATTCATTTGGCACTTTTCTGAAATTGAATACTTTTTCTATCTACTTTCGGTTTGGATGATGGTTCCTTTGCAAATTAATTAAACAATATTGGTAAGCTCAGAAATATGTTTTCAAAAGTTCTTCAAATATTTTCAAAATATGAAAGGGATTTAATTACATACAATAAAAAGATATATGGACTGTACAAACTTCATTTGAGATTATAGATAATTGGAATTAAATATAAAAAAAAAATGAAATTAAGCCTGATTGCAGAATATGAAAACCACTACAGTATTTGAATTTGTACTTGTGGGATGGAGGGTTTAGGTAAAAAGGAAGAGACAATTTAGATATGAAAAATAAAAGTCTTTAGAGATAATTACAGTTAATTGGTTTCTAAAGTCTGTTTCATGATGACAAACTCATGACTGTCAATCATTAAAGATGGCTACGTTGTACCGAAAGAAAATTGCTGGCACCAAATTAGCCATCTTTTCGCAGTTTCTTGTGATTTATAATAGTCACCTGTAATAGATATTAACTATTGTTTACATAGCACAACACAAAAATTATCCTTCCCAGAATCACTGTATTTTGTCAACAGAAAAACAATTTATGTTGTTTATGCCCTTTCCATGGAAAGACAGTGACTATTTAGCCATCAATTTATTTTTCATCTTTTGATGAATTTAGGGTATTGAGTTCTTTGAGCTTCTTTTCTTTTCAGTTGAAAAGTTAGTAGACATAATTCGAAAGAGTTTTTGAAGGGCCATTTCATTCAAGGGACTTAAGTTTTGGCAGCCGCTCTACCTCGTATTTATATTCTATAAATGTTCTAGTTTGATATGAAAAGAAAATTGAAAATGTTTCACCCTTACGATAACTGACTAATTTTAGCTATTCTTTATTTCAGCCAATGCCAAGACTGTATCATAATGGACCAGGATTTAAATATATAGTATCCTGGCGACCCAAAGGAAGTACATACTGGAATACTAAAGAAGTTCGTAATGCTAACGCTAAACAAGTGGAAATAGATGTCACGGATATATATGGTCTTTACGAGGTTATGGTGAAGTCAGCTAATGATATCGGAGAATCTTTCCAACCTCCATTTATCAGGCTCGGTTATTCTGGTGAAGCTGGTGAGTGCACAGATCAAGTAAAATCTTGTAGAAATATTTTAATGTATAAAGATATTTGAATTACTGCTAGACATGGGCAGACAACTCTTTTCACAACTCAAGGTTGGCGCCTAAGCTTTTACAAGAGTATATGATCTTGTCAGTGCTTGTACCAATTGTAGTAGTGTGATCGGCTTATATCCCTAACTTTTATATAATTATGGTTGAAGAGACATATTAGATGTCTAGATGCAGTTTTACTTGATGCGGTCAAACCTTGTTATCTCAAACTTGTATAACTCAAAGACCCCTTTAAGTCAAAGTATTTCATCAGCACTGACCTCACTTCACATCAAATTTTGGAATTGTTTAAATTAAATTCTTCGATACTCAAAATTTTCCTGTAGTCCAGTTTTGAGTTAATCAGGTAACACTGTATATGTAATTGCAAAATGTTAATGTAAATATCTATATAAGCATTTGCTTGTGGAGCTCTTTTGTTCCTATGGTGTAGTCAATGACACTGAAGTGGCTCCATCTACAGTTTACAAGCCTGATTGCTCTAAAATGTATCAGTGTGTAATTACATCATGTAGATATAAGAATCGTTTTTTTCATTTTCCGTCAATGCATCAAAGTAAATTTTCACAGGGGTAACTACATATTTTATTATATGCGTAGACATACATCAAGCCAAGAGGAATCTGTAAGTGTTAAATAACAAAACCATTAATATTTAAGATATCAGTGTAACCACTAATTGCCAGTGAAATTTTCAGCCCCAGTCGACCTAACAGGACCGTACTTACTTGATCTCATGTAAACCTTCAGCACAATTAATTACTATAAATTCATTTCTTACCATTTAAAAATTTATTTCTTTGCTTCAGATCCGATAGTTTCACCAAAAGATTTTCGGCTTGATCCAACGCAGCCAATAGAACCGCACACAGCAAACTTTATTTGGGAGTCTGTTGATACATCAGAAGAAAAAATACGTGGAAAGTTTCGAGGATATAAAGTAGGTTGAATGTACTTGTAAATGTATGAAAAATATAAATCTAATAAGGTAGAAAAACTTCTCCGATTTTACGAGCTTGCATGTTCGCCCTGAAGTAGTTACATGTGTACATAAATCACATGGATGTACAGTACTGGGTCAAGCAATACAGACAGCCTTCTGAATTATGGTATCCTCGTTTGTCCAAAGTGGAAAAAAAAACGAACAGGAAAATTTTATTGTATAATTTCATTAAACTGACTGTCAGAGTTTGGGAATATTTACAAAATATTGCGCATTCATTGTTACCTGTTTAACGAGACCTGACTGATAATATAACAGATCTCTAATAGAACACACAGTGTTGGTATTCATGTCATTTTGATTCGGGTTCATTCATTTTCTCATCAAAATAATCTTTAAATTGCGAGATTTTAGAGGGCACTGAATTTATTGCCAATTTGTTACAAAATCAACAACACAACGATGACGCATTAATCTCCTAAAACAACACGAAGACCAGGGAAATATAGCATTCATTCTACAGCATCAGGAAATGAACTTTTCAAATTAGATATCGGCAAAGAATAATTTCTGCAGAGATATTTATCACAGCACTTTACCCTGTTTCTACCTCTGATCTGAGCCATTGAATGCCAAGAAGAAAATTGCTGCCATCGCAAATGTGAATTTGCAATAACTTAGATTTGCAGATTCACCACACAAAGCTGGCGGATTGTAGTGCAGGATTAGCTGTTATGTTACAAATGGAACAGATTTTAATTTCTCTTTGATATTAAAACCAGTAATTTAGAATTTTATCACATTTGAAATTTCATAGAAATTGAAAGCAGGTCATTTTATTGCCTGCTGTTAATGCACTTAATTTCTAGGAATATTGTTTTTAACAGAAAAATGCATCTTAACTATAATTTGTCTTTACACTGAAGTGTCACTTTATGCTGACAACCCCATAGACAGAAATAGATCAGTCCATGAAAATATCCCTGCCTGGAATAAGTCAGAGAAGAGTTTCAGCACTTTAACTGTTTTGTATCTAATGATCTTCAGATACCATTGATGAATGTGGAGGTGTTGCCTGGTATTGATCGAAAATTGCATTGTTACCAATAGGAAATCAAAGCACAACTTCAGTGATTCTAAAAGACAAAGCACACTAAGGAAAACACATTTCTATTGAAATAAAGTATATTGTTTTCCTTTAATCACATGCGTTAAGTTTCTGTTCGATTAATAATTATCCCCATCCATCTCGGTGAAGTCATGGGGGATAAAGATATAAAAAGTATTAACTATAAACTTCTGAGCCAATTTTGATAAAAATTTACCCTTGATGTTATGTAAATGCTTTTTTTTCATTCCAATCATTTTTTTTAAGTATTATGCACGTTTGATGAAAAATTCAGACCAATTAAGACAAACATTTTGATTATATTTAAATGTTATACACAACTGCCTCTAGTATTGTGCACACTTTTTAACCATTTTTTTCATTTCAAGATTTTTAAAATTTTTTTGTTCTGTCCTTTGATAATTGAAGAAAAACTCCTATTGCTATAAATTGCAAATGAACCAGAAGTACAGATTTTTTTATGTACAATATCTTGTTTTATAGTTACGATTTTGGAAGTCCAGTGAAGGACGACATAAGTGGAAGGAAGTGGATGTTGTAGTAGAAACAACGGAGGGTTACCAATTACCAGACGTTCGAGCAGCCATTGAAGGACTACCTGCATATACTGCTCTACGTGCCCAAGTGGCTGTTATGAATGGTCATTACACAGGCATGCCCAGTCAGACCATTGACTTTAAAACACCAGAGGGAGGTAATCAGAACAGCTTTTTATGTCCTCCACCATAAAATAAGGAAGGGGAGATTAGCTTTGCTATGTCCATCCCATTTCAACCCAATCCATCCCAAAGTAACTCTTTCTATGTATAGAAAATCACCAACTTAATTCTGCAACTTCATCTGATATGGATTTAAGTCAAATACTAATTATTAGTATACTTCGGGCATCGTTGTGTTTTAGGGGACTGATCAGAAAAGACAAGATGGCTTCCAGCTGACTATCTTGGATTTGGCAATTAAAGAATATCATATAACTCCCACAACAAAGTTGCAGGGAGGGGGGAGATATATTGAAATCACCCTGTCTTACTGTCTGACCGTCCAACCTTCTGACCATCCAACCCTATCTCTGTCTTGAATATTGTGTCAAGTGTATCTCAAAAAGTGCTAAAGCAATATTTCTCAAACTTGGCATACTACATCCTTATGATGTAAAGTTTTCATAAAATTTTAACATCATTTGGTAGAGTTATGCCCCTTTTTGTAGATATTCTGTATGGAATATTGTGACAAGTGTCTTATAAATTACTGAAGCAATATTTGTCAAACTTGTTATCCTACAAGTATAAGTCAATTTCAGCACATTAATGACGTAAACAGGTCTCATTACATAAAGGAAATTTGGGTCAATGATGATCGTCCTGATAACTATGGTACATCAGCTTCAAGGTAGAGATATGAAATGTATAGATGACGTTGGAAGTGGGAATCGTTGGAAGTGTACCTGTCTAGACACTTGACCAGAAAGCACAATGTTTGAATGGTTACATTTATGAAAATATCCCTCAGGGAAGTTAGAACAGATCTATTCTAAAATGTTTCCTAAAAATATTATGGTATGTGTTATCAGGTGTACAGTCCTGCCTGAAGAATATCATTGGATATTAATCAATTCTTATACCTGTAAATATTACTTGTATTATAAAAAATATGACATGTGAATGGAAAGCAATAAGTGGTAACTGCTGAATTGTATTGTTAAGTATCACACCATCTACTTTCGTCGTAGCAAGCTTATACAACGGAACCAACCTCACATGACAGACTACCATCCCAAATTCTTCAAATTTGATAGCATATAGTTGCAGACTCAGCCATTCAATTAGCCTGAAATAAAATAAATCTAATTGAATTGCATGGCATGGCTTTGACAGACAGTGCTGGTCAGATCATGTGGCATCATGGTCTCAGACACCGTAATGAGGAAGCTGTGATTTATATTTATCAAGGCCCAGCAAGCAACAAAATGTGGCGATATGTACAAAAACCCATGCAGCCTGCCAATTGCGATAAACTGATTTCAGAAATTAACTGAATTACTCATCATCTTTGGGGGTTTTTTCTCTCTCTCTCTCTTTCTCCTTTTCATTTTTCCTCCTTTTTTCTTTACAGTACCAGGTCCTGTGCGGAAACTTCATGTGGAAGAAAAAGGCAAAAGTTACATTCTCTTAAAATGGCTGCCACCAGATGAACCAAATGGTATTCTGAAAGGATATGACATAGGCTACCAGCTTGGTGGGTATCTTCAAAATCACCTACAAATTTAACATTTATGTTGTATGTTTTTGTAAAAAAAAAAATCTAAATTTTCAAGAGGAGTATCATTTTATGGATTAAACATAAAAAACCAAGTAAAAGTAATGATTTTTTCTGTGTCAAATTCAAACCAGGTATTGTAAAATATATGGTACCCTGCTTTTGAAGTCAAGCTGTAGTGTGATATAAAATCATCATTTACATAGAATTTTACCTAAAGTATAGATACATCTGGTCAATGAGTAACACTGTAAATAATGATTTTGGGTCAAGCCAAATTGGTTTTGGAGTCATGGTAGATGTGAATTATCCTGAAAATGATACTGTTATAGAGGTAAAATTGCCTATTTTGGTATTAACCACAACCTTTAAAATTGCCCTGAAACAGACGCAGTTACATAGCTTAAATTGCCTAATATGGTATTAACCACAACCTTTAAAATTGCCCTGAAACAGACGCAGTTATATAGCTTAAATTGCCTAATATGGTATTAACCACAACCTTTAAAATTGCCCTGAAACAGACGCAGTTATATAGCTTAAATTGCCTAATATGGTATTAACCACAACCTTTAAAATTGCCCTGAAACAGACGCATTTATATAGCTTAAATTGCCTAATATTGTTTAAAATTGCCCTGAAACGGATGCACTTACATAGGTAAAATTGCCTAATATGATATCAAAATGACTCAAACTTGATAAATTTGGTATTAGTATTAGTAAAAAAAAAATGGTGATTTCAGAGGTCAAGAAATCAATGAGATATTTGGACATATGAAAGATTCTTGCTTTCGATATGTAAACTTTCTTTATTGGAATAAAGACGGTTGAATAAGTACACTGTATAAATGTAAATATGGTGCAAAACAGCTGGAACTTGATTTTGAAATTGGATTTCCAAACACTGTCTAGAAAGACAACAATGAACAGACGTTTGGCTTTTAATACCAAATTATCATTTGAAGATGCGTTCCCAGACTGTTTGGAACAAAAATGGTTCTGCTGGATTTGGGTTGTATACATCAATTAAGTTTTGTGGCTCTAGTCCCTAGAGAAATTGAAGTAGTTTAGTTTGTAGTAAGAAACAAAGTTTGAACTTTGTAATGATCTCAGTGTTTTGAAGTGGCTACAATGCGGTTTAATGGCTGTCCTTGTCTCTGGTGACTGTCTCGGAGCACTTGCTTGAGTCCCAATGACTGTTGACTGTTAGTCGGGTGTGATTGACCTGTAGTGTATTATTGTATCCCCCCATATACACCAGGATCAGAACCTTATTGAATTAGGGCCTTTCATTTGGCATACCAGGATTGCGTCCAAGAGCTTCGACAAAAACCAATGAATATAAGAGGTATAATTTGGGATGATGTTGCTTCACCGATGCGGCGCCACAATCTTACTGAATGAATTATTCATCGCTTTGCAATCAGATGTTTTCTCAGGACCGTTAACTTTCAACTTTCTTTAGTAGTTGTGGCAAATTTGATTTAGACTTGTGAAAAAGGTGGGGGTGCCTGTCATTGCGATATATGTGTGGTTACAAGCCCACACCTTTATTCACTAAAACAATCGTCTTTTTTCTCTTTTTTTTTATCATCACCAGTGAATGGAGATAAGTATGGACCAGTGAAGTCCCTCAAAACACAGATCACAAACCCATCAACTTTAGGGGCACGTATCTGGGGCCTCAAAACCAATCACAATTACAGGTTCTATGTTTGGGCTCGTACCAAGATTGGAAAAGGTTTGCCAGTCTTCATGGAAGTTGAAACTGCCGGTGATTCTAGTAAGTCTTCTCAACTAGCATGCAAATAAATAACCAAATCCCATTTTTTGTTTTAACACTTTTTTCTGCCAGCTTTGTTATGTTTTTTCTTTTTTTATTGTCCTTTTTTTTTCCAATCGTCACTGTCTGAGTTAGTGATTGAAAGAAAACATTGCCAGCTAGTTTTTCGGATTTTAATTTCAATCTTTTATTAGCCCTGGGCTGACATTGATTTTCAGTATGAAATATATAGAGATGTATATAGCAAGGTTTTATTATTCTCTGATTGAATTTTCTTTTTTCTTTTTTTATATGATTGGAGATCTTCTATAAAAATTGACAATTACAAAATTGATATTCAAATCCAAGCAATCTCATTTATAGTGTAGAACTCTCTTTAGATGTTGCATCAGTCAGCATGTTTCAGTTATGAAGACATGCCTTGGGAGCACAGTGACTAGACAACAATGAGTTCATTGTGTGATTGATGTCGATTATATACATTATAATGTCCACATATTTAAGTGATTTTAAGGTTAGATGAACTCTCACTATATCTATAAAGTTAAGTATTTTCTCTCATCATTGTTATTAAGTATATATTTGTGGTGACTTCAGAAGATGAAAATGAAATGATGTCATTCTCTCCTAGATCATAATATATTGTCTAGGTTGAGACCATTAACATAGAACCAAGCTGACTTCAAGTTTGAAATGCAGAAGGATGTTTTCTGTATTGCTTGCAAAAGTAATAGATTTTCTGGTATAAGAAGGATTTTAAATTGATTTCCATTTTGTATTCTCATACAAAATAGAAAATCACCCAAGCACTATTAGTATGTAAATGGATATTACAAAATGAGATTGTATTAATGTGATTCATGATCCCATATACCGCACCAACTATGCAGAGTTTGTATTTTTTTTCGATGTAATTTGCAAACTGAATTTATTTTACTGTGAAGATTTCTACTCATGTCTGCAAACTCCTCTTTTGAATGATCTTTTTTAGATCGAAACAAAACTTTTAGCATCAAAATTGATATTACGAGTTTAAAATATTTATTTCACCGTGGTGAAACTTGAGATGCAGAAGACATCAACCTAATCAACCTTGCACTGTGTCACATGAGTGGTCATGTGATGCTGTATACAACATGATCGCAAGATTGCTCCTATAGACTCCTACACCATTCTACTGATTATATATAGAAAAACATAACTCTCAGACAGTGACTTAATGTGTTGCAATGCTTATGAAATATTGAATACCTGGGCAATTTATTCTGGTTCAATAATCTGTGTTTTTGGTCTTTGACATTTTGAAAATCACAATCTGCAAAAGTCTGATATTCATAAACTCACATATGCATACTTGCTAGTCTTCATAATCTTTGTTTGGAGAAAGAGTCTGACAAAATTGTCCAATGTTGTATAAAAGTGACAACATTTTATACAAACTGACAAAATAATGCTATGTTTTCATTCATGCTTTTCTTTACAATGAGTTGAATTCTTTTCAGCAAATAGATTTCTGACATTTTTACTGGTTTCAAAAACAAAACATAAGAGTGAATGAATAATTGTCCTCTCACATTGAAAAGAGAGAGATACATGATTAATAAGTATGCATATGTGTTTTAAAGCTGAAAATAAAGAAGCTTCTTTTGTGATAAATGTAAAAGATTTCTCCATATTTTAACTATGTTGATTTCCTTTGTGAGATTTGCTGGGAAGTGGATATCTAATCCACAATATTGGGATAGCTCCTTCACATTTATTATGAATATGACCAAATTTTACCTAGGGGAGATAACTCTTGCATAAATGACAGTATAACATGTACAGTATTTTACACGGAGAAGATACTCTACTACAAAATACAGGTATCTGGCACATGGCAGTATATTTAGACTGCGGGGAGATGATTCTTACACAAAGTATCAATGTATGGCAGCTTACACTGGCACAATTTATAGGTATCACATATAAGCAATATTTCCCTAAGTGGAGATAACTCTTGCACAAATACGGGTATCACATAGAAAACAGTATTATACATAGGGTAGATAACTCTTGCGTAATATTTTTTTACCCAGGAGGAGATAACTGTTACACAAATCACTTGTATCATGTATGGCCAATCTCTCTGGCTGTATTGCATTGCCCTATATAACACATCTATAAGTGGCTTACACCATTTCAAGATTATTTGATATTATCAGAAATCATTTCATTATTTTTCAATTTTTTATTTTTATCAGTATTTCCAATGTAAACATTTGTTAATCTGAAAATTGATTACATTAGTTAACTGGCTTTATATAAACTTAATGGATTTTATTGTAAAGAATAACAGTGAGTGTAAACAGCCACTAATCATCATGTTTACATTTTGTGCTTTGGTTTTTCAACTACTGAAGTGTTCCTGAGATAAATGTTCATATACTGTGACATCAGTGATAATTGGTAATTTGGCTGCGATATCAATGCATTTCCTCCCCAAAAGAGCCAACGCTGATTGCTGGTATAGAAAACAGCCTGCATGTGTATCCTTCATTGATGTTGTCATGGATACTTTTATCCTGCATCAAACTTTGACCCTGACCAAGAGGTCAACTACTGATAGTCCGTGAGCCACTTACAGAGGTGTATTGTGACTGGTAGAGATAAATTCATGGCAGTTTTTTACCTAAGGGAGATAACTTTAATAAATTACATTTATTACACATATTACAGTGTTTTACCAAGGCAAGTTAATCCTTACACAAATTCAAGATATCACATGCACATCCATGTTTCATCTTGCTTAGATGTCATAGGTGTCTTGTTAAAGGTAACTGATTACCTAAGCTTGCACTTTCTTCCTCATTTCAAATTTGGAAACTTGATAGGTGTAATGTAGGTCAAGATATTTGACTGTAATTTTATTCGGAATATATAATTATGATAATAGCCTACAAAACAAAAAGATTGGAAAACGTATATGTTTCAGTATTATTAAAGTGATACTAAGGTGTCATACAAATTGTTTATTGAAGACTTCCCAGCAACTCTCATGTATAGCTTATCTTCATCTTTCATTGTATTGCATGCTAATTCAGATTCATTAATCCTCATAAATATTCATGAATAGATTCTTATTGATTGTTCATTGAATTTTAAGTCCAGGTAAGAATCATATTCCTTATACTTATTGCTTTGTGTAACAAGTTTATGTTGACTTAATCAACAACATTTACATAGAAAGTATATTACTTAATATCACAAATCTGTTTTTATCATTATGCAAATGGTAATGGTAATTATGCAAATGACATGAATTATTATGCAGATTACATTGTTTTTATGCAAATGTCATGGATGATTGGTTGTGCACTGTACCTGTTAGTTATGCCTTCAACTGTCTTTAGATCAATGGTACTGATGTTATAAAGGTTGTGGTTTTCATGTGAAACCCAGTCTTGTTCCATTCATCAAAACATTGTGTTTACAATGTAGTTGTAATCAGGTCATCTCCAACTAGAGGTCACAGTATCTAGCTCACTAAAGGTCAAAGGGCAAAGACAGATTGTATTGAGGTTTTCTCCGTGTACTTTTATAGAGGTCACAGTATCTAGTCATAGTTTACAAGAGATCAGCAGACAGATATAGTATTGAGGTCTATCTCCTTTATAAACTGAAACTCTCCTGCTATTCTATCTGCTGTTTTTTTTTTATTGGTAAATCTGATGTTTTTTCAGTGAAATGTTAATTTACAAACAGGATTTATAAATTGATCCTCCCTCCCATATCAGACTACACTGTTAGAACTGACAGTTTTGAACGAGAATTTCTCTGTATTGATGAATTGATTTTATTTTAGAAATGCAAAATACAAAAGGTAGAATTAAACTCTCTTTTTTTCATGAAATATTGGACCATACAGAGAATTATTTTCCCACCTGAGCTTTGAGAAATCCATTAATAGGTACAACTATGTTTAGTTTTCTTCACTATTCAGGAAAATTTTATCATTCAGAGTTTTCAATTTCTGAGGGCTACCATGTTGGATCATTCACTGAATGTAAAGCAACATTTCCTCTTTCCATTAGCTGTTTCTCTGATTCTTACAGAAATATGGAAATTATTCTGGTCTTGAATGAATGGAAATTCCTGAATATTAATCTACCTTATCTATATGTCACAGTGAAGTTTTCATTGAGGAACATATCTTTGAACTATCTATAGTTACTGATATAGGTCATTTCAATTGAAGAATATCTCCTGTTTAATTACAACATCAATGTAATTACTGTTATTTTTCTGTCACTTAAATTCAAATTGATTTATCTCTGAGAATTTAATTTGTGCCATGTCATATATATATATCTAAAAGCTCTACATCAAAGTGTATTTAAGTAAAACATCTATACACATTTCTTTGCCAGCTGTTTTATCTGAACCGTCACTTCATCAGATTACTGCAAAAATATGCCTGCCATGACCCCGAATGGGAAGTCACACGGGCAGCCATGACAGTTTTGCTGTGATCTGTCCTCCCTAACATTCATTAAGCATAGCATCCTCTGAGTTGTTAGCACCGAGACAGATTATCCTATCAATAAATAATATAGCAAACACACTTCCTCCAATCCTTGTCGAGCCCAACAGAGTAAACACAACAATTAGTTACCATGGATACGAAATTAGCACTGAAGAATGCCAAGAAAAACTGCATGATTTCTGATTAAAGAAAATGTTGTGAGTCAATGTAGCAGGTTGAATATTGCGTTGTAATTCTCATTTGGTAGTGACAGGAGTTTTTACAATGGATTCGTTTATTGAGACTTGAAACTGAATTTTCATGGATTTTTATGTAGCCAAGTCAAAATCACCTGATTTAGTAAAGTGCCTGCTGAAATAGCTCAAGTAGCTTATGTAGCATCTGACAAGATACTGATCTATCATTATCAACAGAGTCTGCAGATTTGTTCTACAAGAGCTTCAGAGCTTTGTTATGTTTTTCTTTTATCTCCTGCTACTTCAAGTGAACTCTTTTACAAAAACTTGTTCTCTCTGCATTTTCATATTAGCTGAATCATTATGTAGGAAAAAAACTTTCTCTCTGATGTTTAAATAAAGGATTTCCAGGTAAATTCAAATAATGTCAGAAGTAAAAGAACAAAATGTTATACTGCAATCAGTCAAGCAAAATTTATACCTGATCTTGAACTGTTTGAATTTTGAAGGCAGAAAACTAATGTTAAAGATAGCAAGGACTTCTGCCAAGCAACAATTGGATATAATCCCATCCTTTTTGTTTAGATTGGTGAAAACAAAGAAATATACTTACAAGTTACATGCAAAACAGAAATGTCATGGGCATTTCAGGGCAAAGTTTTGTATGGATTAGCAGTGATTGACATAGATTTTGTTTGTTGTGAACATAAGAGAAAAATCTGACATTCTGCTGATTGATGCAAATTTCCACATGAGGTTTTTTTTTTTTTTTTTTTTACATCTACAGACATTAATTGTCCCAATCAATTTATTGACTTTGTTTACTCAATAATCCTTTATTAACAGTGGCATTTTTCACTCTATCCTGTTGTGAAAGTTACCTTGATGAACTCTGTCCTTTTGTAAAAGTGACCTTCTTGACTCTATCCTGTTCTCAAGATGACCTTCTTGTTTCTGTCCTGTTTTCAAGATGACCTTCTTGACTCTATCCTGTTTTCAATGTGACGTTCTCAGTTTGGTTGTCTCCTTGCCGAGACAATCTTCTCAACTAAGTAATCCCATTTTAGGTGACCTTCAGCAATCAGTAATTTCAAATTGCTATTTGAAATTTTCAGCATTGTTTAATCTTTTTATGCTTTCCTAAATGACAAGTGCATTCTAGTGTTGGTATGGTTTTGAAGAGAAAACAAATTTTACATTTTTCTCATTAGTGAAACTGTCATGGTTTCAACAAAATGTACTGTGGTGTATATCTGGGGGCGACAATTCTCTAATTCCATGTAATTTTCCAAGCGTTAATGATCCAGAGATTTCAAGCCAACACTGGAGTGGTGCTTGAATTAAGTTGGTCCTTATATTTGATGGCGCGAGAAAAAGGTGAACGTATTTACACCAGTGTTCCTAATAGCATAGTAGATGTGGGGAAGTCTGGGAATTCATCCCACCAAATACTTCCACATCTTTCTGCAAATGACATAGAGGTTGCCAGATTGTAATGTAAAAATTGATACAATTCCCAGGTTTTGGCTAGTATTTGGTAAAGGTTGGTTTTTGTGTTCCAGGTGTAAATGGCCTACATTTACAGAAAATTTCAATTCTAACATCACTTTTTACACACAATGACAATCCTCTATTAAAAAAAATGTCAAGACAAGTTGGTCTTGTTTCATGAGGAAAAAGGTGATGATGTCATGGCAGTTTTGTAAGTTAGGGTTATAATATAACATTTCTTTGTTATGACTAATATTTCTGTTCTAACACAAATACCTTGTTTTGAGTTAATAAAGGGATTATTTCACAGTCAATTTTGGATGAACTTCATTGTTTGGAGTTTGAAGGGTTTTATTTAGTTTAGTTTATTGTTGCTTTAAGTCCTACTAACAGCCAAGGTCATTCAAGGACATGCCAGGCTTGGGTGGTGGAGGAAAGCCGAAGTGTCCAGAGAAAAACCACCTACCTGTGGGCAGTACCTGGCAACTGCCCAACAAAGGCTTCAAACCCACAAGGTGGAAGGCTTAACATTTTGGTCACTGCAGCTTCATGTGTCTGAAGGGACACTTTTATTGGCTTGAAAAGGGATATTCTCTCTATTTTGAGTTTTCAGGGTTTTTTCACTTGTTCAGGCTGTGAAGTACTTTAAGCAATAGTTTACTTTTCTCGAAGGCCTGATAGATAAGTTGTGAGCCATATATTGAAGAAGTTAAGCAGAAGACAAGAAGGCTGGTGTCATTTGGTCGGTTTATGTCGAAGACGTAGCACTCTCAAGTAAACAAAGCAAGTCACTTTTGCAAAATGGACAAAATCGCTGAAAGAGCAGTGATTCAATATTTGTATAAAAAAGGTCTAGCACCTAAGGATATCCATACTGATATAGCAGCACTAGGAATTGATGCCCCCTCATATGCTTCAGTGAAATGATGGGTGGCAGAATTTAAGCATGGCAGGCAGAGCCTTGGGGATGACCCCCATCCTAGAAGGTAACATTCACCACTGCAACCCCAGAAATAGTGAAAAATGTTCATGATACTGTTCTGGCTGACAGGCTAGTTACATAGGTATGTAAAGCCAGTACAGTAGGGATTTCACATGAAATAGTATATTTCATTCTTAAAGAAAATCTTGCAAAGAGAAAGCTGTTAGTGGGTTGGGTACCAAGACTTTTGACATTTGATCAAAGGCACACCAGACAGACTTTTACACATATCTGAACCTCTTAGAGGCAGATCCTGTTAACTTTCTGCAGAGGTTTGTGACTATGGATGAAATATGGGTTCATTATTTCTCCCAAGAGGCCAAACAACAGTCTAAACAATGGAAGCACTCTGGTTCAACCCCAGCAAAGAAGGCCAAGACTGTTACATCAGCTGGAAACGTTATGGCTGCAGTTTTCTGGGATGATGATGGTAGATAATCTGCAAAGGGACAAACAATCAATGCCACATATTATGAATAACTTCTAAGGCAGTTAAGACAAAACATTAAGCTCAATCACCATGGAAAACTTGGTAAAGGTGTGCTGTTCCACCAGGACAATGCCCTTGTTCACAAGTCTGTTGCTGCCATGACTGCCATTAACGATTGTGGCTTTGAGTTGATTGAGCATCAACCTTATTTGCTTGTTCTCACTCCATCAGCCTGATCTCAATCCATCAGACTTTCATTTATTTCCAAAATGGAAAAAGTCCATTTGCAGTACCCACTTTTGGTTGGATGATAACATCATACATGCAATGAAGGACTTTCTGAACGGTCAAGAAAAGGACTTCTTTAGAAGTAGCATTGAAGGAAATTTTTAAATACTTCTCCTGTGAGAATAATTGGAGTTTGCACAAATTTAGTATGAAGCATTTTTGGGTGAAGGGGAACAGAGTTTATGTTAAGATTTGTTCCGAGTTCTCAAGGACCTATTGGGTAGGTCCAAATGGGAAAATTTTGTGAGTGCATGAATGGATATTGTCCAAATTTGGTCTGATATATGCTTGGATGAAGGGGACTAAGTTCTGTATAAACGATGCATCCTAGCCCCCTAGGGCAGGAGGAATGGAGACCGTTGGCATGTAGCACTAAAAAAAGGTGTTCTGTACAAGTTTTGTTTAGAAATATAATTTCAGTATATCATAGTTCAATATTTGAACATATATTAATACATTAAGAATAACACAGGTTAGGACAGTTTGCTAGTTTTGTAAAGATACACTTTGGGAAAAGGAATATATGTGACTTAGTGAAGATATCCAGAGGAGATAAAGAGAAGGAGAACTCTCCAGACCAGAGAAATTCTCCAGATCAAAGAACTCTACAGACCAGAGAAATTCTCCAGGCCAAGAACTCTCCAGACCAGAGAAATTCTCCAGGCTAGAGAAACTTTCTAAACCCAGAGCAACTCTTGAGACCTGAGAAATTCTTCAGGCCAAGAACTTTCCAGACCAAAGAATTCTCCATGTCAGAGAACTCTCAAGGCATGAAAACTCTCCTGGAGAGATTCTTCAGGCTAGAGATACACTTTAGACCAGAGAAAATCTCCAGGTTAGAGAAAATTTCCAGGCTAGAGAAACACTTTAGACCAGAGAAAATCTTTATGCTAGAGAAACTCTTCGGGCTAGAGAAACTCTTCAGACCAGAGAAACTCTATAGACCAGAGAAACTCTCCATGTCAACCATGGTCTCATCTCTAAAGGAGGAAGGAAATTGAGATTTGTTTTAGATTGACTTGTTAATTTGAGATATTTTGTGGTTTGATCTTTACTGTACTTTTCCTTGGAGTTTTAATGGTTAGATTGGGATTTGACTAATTAATTCTGTGGTTTAGTGGATACACGTTCAGTATATCTGGATCAATTGGACCAATATTCTACTGTGAGTGCTTGATTACTTATGCTTCATTGAAATTAGGATAGAATACTTTCAAACATTTTCCATTAAATAAAAATTGAAATCAGATTTCTTTGGAACGGCTACTGGATGACAAATCCTGTGTCATAAATTAACCTATATCTTCTGTCTTTGGAATGACTGCTGGATGACAAATTCTGTGTCATAAATTAACCTATAAATTCTATGCAAGTCCGTGGCTTTGAAGCAAACATGTTTAGGCTGTTGATGTATTTTCTGACTGTGATTTGTTGACATGTACAATGGTGCCTTTTTCTATACATTCAGTCCCTGTTATACCTTATCCCATTTTATCGGCTGTGGAATCAACGAGTATCAACATCACATGGACAGCCATGATGTATCAGGAGAAAGATATTCAATATCTTCTCGAATACAGAACCGAAGGTAAACACCACAGCTGTTGCCACTAGACTATAGTTCCCTTCCTGTGTTTATATATCCACCAAATTCGTAAAAAGTAGTTTCTAGAATGTGGAGTCTGAATTATCCGTGCATGACTGTGGTGTGGAGGCGGGAGGTGGGGGGAGGTCATATGTCTAGGGTTGTGTGCACTTTTAGAAATTTAAACTGAAAAATAATTAAAGCATCGTTAGAAGCATTAAATTCAATTTCTGAATTTAAGAAAAAATAATTTAATGTGTTTTCGGAGTTAAAAAACAATATATAAACTTGCTAAAACCACCGAATGAAATTTTTATAGGCAAATTTTGTGTGACATGTAATTTAGATAAATGAACTAAGGTCATTCATTTTGTACCCACTGAATCCTCAGTGTGACTAAATACTAAACGAAAAATATGTGCAGAGGTAACAAATGTTAAGATATCTACAAGTTTCCAATCAACTTCAAATGGTGCTTTTTAGGAAAGTCAAAGTCAGCACAAAATGTAACTGTTAACTCAAAATGTAACTGTTTAACTCGAAATGTAAATGTTTAACACAAAATGTAACTGTTTAACTCAAAATGTAACTTTTTGACACAAAATGTAACTGTTTAAATCCAAATGTAACTGTTTAACACAAAATGTAACTGTTTAACTCAAAATGTAACTGTTTAACACAAAATGTAATTGTTTAACTCAAAATGTAACTGTTTAACTCAAAATGTAAATGTTTAACACAAAATGTAAATGTTTAACACAAAATGTAACACAAAATAATTTAATCACAAAATGTAACTGTTGAACACAAAAGTTAGTGTGTTAACCCAAAATGTATCTATTTAACACAAAATATAACTTTTTTAACACAAAATGTAATTGTTGAATGACTTTTTAAATGTAGTGTTTAATCTTGTGGCAATTAAAGCTAGGACTTTCATTTCTGTCAATACATTTGGTTGAATTCCAATAACAGTTACATATCCGATATTCAATCTTCAATTTCAAAAGAAAACAATATCAGATGATAAGGTAACTAATGAAATAGCCCTTACTTTGACCCCGAAAGAGTTCTCAGGGAAAAGGTATACATGCTTCTTAAAAACCTTTTGAGTAAAACATTAACCTTTGATAATATGGGCTTTAGGCCACAGACACTTGAAAACATAAACAAGAAAAAAACAAAAACCTTAAGTTGCCTTGTTGAAAGCAAGGAAAATGCTACCAAACTTTTACATATTTAAATGGAGTATATGATCAATTTCAAGTACATTTCAGAAAAAAACATGATGATATAATTTTTTTCTTCTTTTGAAATTAAAACTAAAATTGTACATACTTGACATGAATAAGACCATTTCATAGTCTGTTAACTGATTTAATTTGTGTGTTAGATTATTTTGAAATTTTTTAAAAATGAATTATGAAACTGAATTGATTTTCATTTCACTGAATTAAAAGTCTCCCAGGTAATTAAACTTCTGATGTTAATGTACATCAATGTCTGAATATTATAAATGGGAGAGAAAACTACAGCATGCAGTACATGTCGTCTTTAGTGAAAAAAAAAGAAAACAAATTAAGTTCATTTTTTTAATTTGATTTCAATTTTATTGTTAACATTTTAGTGAAAATAACTTCTAGTATATTCATATTCAGTTAAATTACTACTTTCGCTTACAAAATAAAAATGCATATATATATTATTGTAAACTTTTAAACTGATAGATCACAATGTGATATTTGAACAAGAAAATGATATGAATCTTAAATTTCAAACAATTAATACATCATGTCGAGTGTTTCCGTAGATTTGTACACATTCACTCTGTCTCTCTCTCCTCATTGCTTACAAAGGACAATCAGATTGGCTCAGCACGGATTCCTCAGATGGCAGATCATGGAAATATCTTGATGGTCTCATTCCCAACACAAAATATGATGTACGCTTAGTAGCAATGAACAGGGTTGGGGCCACAAAATATGGCAAAATTTTCTCCATAGTAACCACTCCCAAACAAGGTAAGCTCTTCAATGATACAGATTTAGTTCCTCAATGTGGCTTGGTGTCTTTTATGTCCACTAACTTAACATGCATTGCACATTGAAATTCAAAGATATTTTAGTTTTAGAAATACTGAAAAAGCCTCTGCTTCATTTTTATTCTCTTTTTTTTTTTTTTTTTTGTAATTTAACAAATTGCTGAAATCTAATTACAATTGTAATACTTCAAGATTGTGTGTTGTCTTAAAATTATCGGAGAAAATAGTCAAGAGGCTTTGACTGTTATGTATTTGAAAGGATTTTGATTTTGTCACTAGTTTCTGCCAAATTTGCTGCTGTTTATTCAATTCACTTGTTTGCTTTGATGTCTGTCATGCTTCTGTGTACATTATCAATTTAACATTTCAATCCTTCAAATTAACTTTGGCAAGAGTAGTTTTTATATTTTAATTCTTGTTGTAGCTGAACAGCAATTTTACATCTCAACTATTGTGATATAACTAGAGAGAGTTCAGCCTCTCATAACTTGTATTATAGCAGGAGAGTTTTTTCTGATCTGTTATGGTATATAACAAGAGCGAGTTTTTTCTGATCTGTTGTGGTATATAACAAGAGCGAGTTTTTTCTGATCTGTTGTGGTATATAACAAGAGAGAGTTTTCACTGATCTGTTGTGGTATATAACAAGAGCGAGTTTTTTCTGATCTGTTGTGATATATAACAAGAGAGAGTTTTCACTGCTCTGTTGTGGTATATAACAAGAGAGAGTTTTCACTGATCTGTTGTGGTATATAACAAGAGCGAGTTTTCACTGCTCTGTTGTGGTATATAACAAGAGAGAGTTTTCACTGATCTGTTGTGGTTTTAAACAAGAGAGAGTTTTTTTCTGATCTGTTGTGGTAAATAACAGGAGAGAGTCTTTTCTGATCTGTTGTGGTATATAACAAGAGAGCTTAGCCTCTCATAACTTGTAATATAGAAGGAGAGAGTTTTCACTGATCTGTTGTGGTAAATAACAGGAGAGAGTCTTTTCTGATCTGTTGTGGTATATAACAAGAGAGAGTTTAGCTTCTCATAACTTGTAGTATAGGAAGAGAGAGTTTTCACTGATCTGTTGTGGTAAATAACAGTAGAGAGTCACCCTCTCACAGCTTTTGATATAGTAGAAGTTTATTTTGATTCTCACCTTTGATCTGACAGTTTCATTCTGACGTTTTGCAGTATAGTATTTGAGGTTTGCTTCGGCTCTTTTGTGATATAGCAAGAGTTTTACCTGTTATCTCTTCCAGTAAAATATCTTATAACTTATCATCTCTTCAGCAAGAGAGTTTCACTTGTAATGTCTTCAGCAGGAGAGTTTCACCTCTCTTCTCTTCAGCAGGACAGTTTCACCTCTCATCTCTTCAGCAGGAGAGTTTCACCTCTCATCTCTTCAACAGGACAGTTTTACCTCTCTTCTCTTAAACAGGAGAGTTTCACCTCTCATCTCTTTGACAGGAGAGTTTCACCTGTAATGTCTTCAGCAGGAGAGTTTCACCTGTAATGTCTTCGACAGGAGAGTTTCACCTCTCATCTCTTCAGCAAGAGAGTTTCACCTCTCATCTCTTTGACAGGAGAGTTTCACCTCTCATCTCTTCAGCAAGAGAGTTTCACCTCTCATCTCTTCGACAGGAGAGTTTCACCTCTCATCTCTTCAGCAAGAGAGTTTCACCTCTCATCTCTTCGACAGGAGAGTTTCACCTCTCATCTCTTCAGCAAGAGAGTTTCACCTCTCATCTCTTCGACAGTAGAGTTTCACCTCTCATCTCTTCAGCAAGAGAGTTTCACCTCTCATCTCTTCGACAGTAGAGTTTCACCTCTCATCTCTTCAGCAGGAGAGTTTTACCTCTCATCTCTTCAGCAGGAGAGTTTCATCTCTCATCTCTTCTGCAGGAGAGTTTCACCTCTCATCTCTCCAACAGGAGATCAATTTACTTCTTACCTTAGTGGTTTCAGTTTTAGTTTGTTCCGACTTAAAAGAGAAATGTATTTTCAAGTGATAGAATACTCTTTCTTTTTATGTCTAGATTAAAACTTCAACAGTATGTTTGTCAGTCTAATATTAAGTTAGAATTTCCCAAGATAATTCTGTTTGATTCGTCCCATCATATCAGAAAGTATACATCACATCAATATGTCATGTTTCCTCTGATAGCAATCAATCACAACCATATCATAGGGTCAAAGGTTATCATTGTTACAACCTTTGTTACCATGGTAACAATTGTCTTTGTGGATTCTTATATCTGCAAGTTTCTTAATATCTTAAATGTATGGTAAACCCTGTTTAAATCTGACTTTGTTGAGACAATAAGTTGCTGTCAGAAACTGAATGAATAGTCTTTGAGTTTCATGTGAACACTTGAATATTGTTGAAGGATCAAGTCGTTAACATTCATGCTACCACATATCTTGATATCTTAAATGTATGGTAAACCCTGTTTAAGTCTGACTCTGTTGAGACAATAAGTTGCTGTCAGAAACTGAATGAATAGTTTTTCATGTGAACACTTGAATATTGTTGAAGGATCAAGTCGTTAACATTCATGCTACCACGTTATTTCCTGTACATGAAATTTGCTTGCATTACAGCCAATTATAATTGATTGTCATATTGTTGTATTACACTCTGTGCTTCATGTTTTTGAAGAGACTTTCAGTGTCTGCTTTACATATGGGGAAGGCAGTAATATGAATTGATCAGATCAAATAAAGAATCTATGGGATGAGTTCATACATAGAGGACAAAAGGTCCAAGATTTGAGGGTAAAAGTATTTGGCTGAAGTACTGGTGAAGCAAGTATATTCCCTTTAGACATAATGTGTGGGTGGTAGGACATTTAATATTGTAAAGTCTTATTGAAAAGAAATGTAAAACATAATATTGTGGAAGAACATTTTTTCTCTGTTGATATTAAACTTTTAATGAATAGACCCAGGCATTCTGTAGTTTCTGTCGTAATAAACAATCTTAAACATTATGGCTTCACATTATTAATGAGCAGGCTCCATTAACTGGTAGCTGTCTGGATGAACAAGCTCAAGCATCTTTTAGTAAGGTAGTCACATGCCTCAGATTACTGCAGCAATGAATGGGTAGATATTTTCCTGATATTAATACATGTATACAAGTACATGTCAGTATACATCATATATATACACAGCTATGTATTAGGTTTCCTAACACATCGATTGTTAAAATGTGCTAAATCAATCCAACTATGTTTAATATGTAGCCTAGATTAGACTTCACTGAAGTTATGTGTCTTAGTACATGTCTGTAGTTGTTTCTCTGTCCTTTGTAAGTTGTTTAACAGTTCTATGTGTGGAACTCTTTTAAAAAGAAGGTACAGGCAATGCACCAAACATCCTTAACATAGAATAGAAGTTCTTATAACACAACCAGTAGAAGATTAGAGAGTGATGTTTCGATGATTACATGATCAAATTCATCAGACAAATGACCAGTGTGGGGCGTACTACCACTGACATACGTAGTGTAAAGATAATAAAGAATCAACCACTTTTTTCGGCTGCACTATAATCACACTAAGGTCGAAAATGATGTGACAAGGTGGTAAACAGATTATAGACAAAAAAATATACACCTGATGGTAACGATGTACTGTTGTCAATTCGACTATGCTTTGAAGGTGACAGTGCTGGTGACCGTGTAGTCATCGAAATGTCACACTGGTTCTACTGGTTGCATTATAAGAACTTCTATTCTATTGACATCACCATCCTGAAGAAAATGTTTCAAAACATTGTTAACATGTTTTCTTTGACCATGATGATAACATTTTTGTTTGTGTGTTTCAGGAGGAGGGAACGACTACAGTTATGATGCCTCCAGTGGACAATTGGCTAGTATACACCATCCACTAAGTATTGCCTCAAAGACACAAAACCTGGCCATCCTGCTACAAATTGTGTTGACACTCCTGACATTCCTGTTTGTGATCTATTAGGGAATTCTGTGATAGATTTGTATTTCAGTATTTTTTTAAAAACAAATTAAAAAAGGTCAACTTTTTTTTGTTAACTTCCATATAAACACCAGTAAGCACCCCTGTAATTCAGAAATGGAAATGTCCACCTTGTGATGTTTAAGGTGCCATTCTGATTTGAAGGGTGAATCAAAGTGATCTTGGTCCTTGTTGAGGTACGGTGAGGGGAAGTCGTTCCCTTCATCTCCTGTATCTCCTGTAATGAGATTGATCTATAAATAAATCAAAGATGCACTTCCTGACCTTGTAATCACTACAAATAACCGTTCAATGTGATCAAAAGACTATTTCACCAGCACTGGATGTAACCGTGATCCATACTTGATACAAATTAAATGGATGTGAGTTCTTCAATGAAATCTCAAATGGACTAGGATTTATTTGTAAGGACAAAATTCAATTAATCTCCCTGACATCATCCAATGACAGGAAATTGAAAAATAAAACAAAACTTTCTAAAGCAGAAAGTTTATGTAGTGAGAAAAAGGGTAATGGTCATTTGAGTGAGACTATGTCTGACAAACTGAAGGGACCATTACGAGTGCTGAAACTGAGAGCTGTGTGATTCTTTAATGGAAAACTGACATGAAATAAGCTCGGTGTGATTCAACATGATGCCACAGTATAACGGATTTTTGTCCGAGACCGGTGCCAACCCAACAAGTGTACAAAAACCAGGATGTACTAACAAGGACATGGAAGTTTGGTTATTGCTGTAACCAAGGTTACTTAAAGCACAAACATTTGGAGTAGTCACTATAGTAGCTCTTGTTTGTTGGTACTGAAAGGAAATGAAATGTACAAGAGATAAACTTGACAAAGGAAAACTCTGGCTTCGTATGTTAGTACGTGTAACAGCGTGAGATGAAGTTTCATGGGGACCAGGAAAGCTCCCCATTATTTTACTATAGGTCAAGTGTTCATTGTATGAAAGTTCCGGATTACAAGGTTTTTCAAGAAGTTAGTGTGAAAAATGACACTATACATTGGAAGATATGATAAAGCTGATATTCCGTACGTCAGGGTCAACATTTAAATGTTTAAAAATGTTGTTACTGACCTTAGGGGCAAAATGTTTAAAATGTAAATGCTGGCGGAAGGGAAGAAAACCAGACAATTTACTTGTATAGGTCATTTTCAGTGAAGCATCCAGCTATCATAATCATTTAACATTATTGATAGTAGTAGCTTGTGTGAAACTGACGAGCTCTGTCACAAGTTCCCATAGATACATATGTACCTGTGAAGTTGTACACTGGAAAGTCTGCATCCAGAATGGAGGCTGTGGATATGAAAATAATCCCCAATGCTGAACTTCTGGAAGTTGCAGTTTCCATGGATACAGTGATACTGATCTACGAGAAATACACAAGGACAAAACCCTACCTTGTAGGGTAATGCTACTGTTGATGACGGAGAAAGTCCAGTGTCTTGGATATCACATCAGAAGTTCCCAATAATGGTCATTTCACTATACTCTCCTCACCATTTCCACCATGTTGTTTAACATTTCCATGCCTGATGATTGTGTCAGATTGTACTGTTAACAAGTATTTTTCATGAGCAATGGCATTTGATAACAGAATTCAAATACATTATGTTTTAAACTGTTGCAGAGAAATAGAATAAAAAGTGTTCACTATGTTCCGCTCAAAATTTCAAGATTCAACATTTGTATGCTTGCTAACAACGTAATGTATGTAAATATTCACAATATTTGATAACCATTTTTGTGAGCTTCCAAAGTCGATGTTAAACAAAACAAAAAACTGAACAAAAAGTCAAAATAATCAAATTTCTTCATTGAATGGAATTATTCTTTTCTGTGACTGTCAAATAATACTGCTTGAGCCTTTTTATGGCTCACTATTAATACCTTGTAACTAGAGTAAGACTTCAATGAGGGAAGAAGCATACGGGTGGGAGATGTATGATTTCAATATATCACTAATCTTCAAGTGAGATGTTCGAATGCTTGATTCAAGGTTGTCTGTCAGCTTCGTGACAAATGCTGAGTACCATGGAGGTCAAACCGGTGCATTGCATTGGTTGCGGCACTGCCAATCAGCACTTCCTGTGGAATCCATTTTTATTGCCATTTATAATTGAATGAACTGCTGAGATTCTTAAAGAAAAAATATATGCAATCTTGTCCAAATTGACAAATTGTTATAGGTAATACATTTTTTCAGACCAGAATAATCAATAACATGTGCTGAATGCACTAGTAGACCTTCAAATGTAAATTAATCTCAAATTGCTTTAATTAATTTGGTGGTATGCACCAAACAAGCCTTAGGAAAAGTTTAATGATGATTTTTGTTGTTTAAACTAAGGTAAAAATCAATACATATCGAATGTTAAACTTTTAGATAAACACTAGTACTAACTTCATTCTATAAGTGGCATGTATGTATGTAATTTTCTCCATTCTTGATGCTTGGGTAATCAAGAAATATAAAATAAAGAAAAAAACAGCTTCATAAAATGTAACTTTTTTTTTTTACTATGATTAAAAGGGCTGCAAATAGCATCATTAATACTGTTACATAACAATGAATTAGTTAAATGTAACCTTGGTAAATGTTGTATAATTTACACTAAAGTATACACAAAAGGGGAGAAAAATCACCAAGAATCCCGATATTGAGTGTGTATCAGTATCTATAATGTTCACTTTACTGGTTTTGTTAAGACTGAAAAAAAAACCTGTGATGAATTTCAATAATGAACTTTAGACTAACATTTGTATTTTTTCTTGACCGGTCAAGTCATTACTCAGTACTTCATGAATGAAATTATTGATACTTCCTCATCAGGGCGCGTTTATCATGCCCCGAAGTGTGAGATATGTCTCCAGTGGAACTTTGGTGGTCTGAGCAGGATGCTGTAGTGAAATTGTTTATATTCCAATTCCTTCATGATGTCTTTACATTCAGGAAATTTTAAGTTCCACTGCTTGTTACAGCAATCTTTTTTTTTTTCATGGAATTTTTTTAGTTCGGCATTAAGGCTATCAAAGTTCCGCTGGACTCGTAGAGAATATGAGTATGTATGTATAACCATTTGTAATATCCTTCACTGCTCATGTGCCATGATATTTATATACAATGTACCTTGACCACTCATTCTGTTGCACTCGGTTGTGAATTTGTAAATAGTTTAACAAATAACAAACACCCAAGAACATGACTTAATCTGACATATATATATATATATATGTATGTTTTTAACACATTTTTTTGTTTTTATAAATATTTGCCAACATGTAACTCAATAACAAACCACAAAGATGTTTTTGTGATGTGTATATCATGAAAATAATTGGCACCAGGGGTATATTAGATTAAAAAAGTAATTACAGACTGTCGGACTGACTTGACACAAAGTAAAATTTACTGGTCCTACCTTCGACCTTGTTGAAGAAGGGCAGTTTATGAGTCTTTAGAGAAAGTTTATCATGATCAGATGTACGTTCAGTCAACTAAAACTTGGTGTTCTTGACTCTGTTAAAATTCAAACGAGAGTCTGATATATTATTGGTTTTTATTGAATGGAGAGAAAAATGGAGATGATTCTTGTTAACTTCTTTCAGTAGCGCATTTTAAGAGATAAAGGACATTTGTATAATAGATTTTATTTGATTAATCAGATGACCTTGACAAAATTCAATACATTAAAGTCAAAATGTTACATAATATCATTAAAACATCTGGTCTCCATTCAACCAATCAGAAAATGAGATTGTCTTTCTCTTCCTATGAGTGCTAGGCTATTGGCTGATACTAACTCTTGCACATGTATATAACTATGGTAAATTTATTTGTGGGCAGAGTTCCAGGTAAATATTCCACTACCCCCCAGCCCCTCCTTTTCTTTTCTTTTTTTTTTATTAATTACATCAGTTCTATAACAATTTTCATTAAATAATTCCAATTTTATAGCAGAAACTTGGAAAACAAAATTTGATTTCAGATTCCCAAACTTGATCTATTGATCTGATTTTTAATGTATTGTTTTAAAACCTTATATGGTTGTCTTGTCATTGTCACTTTTTTTAAATGACACTGACCTTGAAATGATCTTGATTAAGAGATGTTGATATGATTACATATTGTGCCATTCAAAGTTAGATTTTTATTACTTATATATTTCATTATTATTGCAGATCTAGTCAAAACAATGCACCCCAATTATTTCCTTTTTTCTGTATTTTTCATTCTTTTTGTTACCGTGGTGTCTGTTACGTAGTGTTATTGACAAAACAGTTTGGTATTTATTTACAGATGTACAGATATGTGTCAGTTATACTAAAGTAAGTAAAATTACGAGATATGGTGTTTCCCTAGTAACATAAATACATGTAATGGATCATCCCAACTTAAAACCTTATAGGCTGTTATTTAGCATGAACAATATTTTCGTTGTTTTGCAGTACATTAAATCGATAGCGAAAATTCAGTTCATGAAATAATGAAATACATCTGTGAAAGCATAATCAGATTGCAAAAAATATAATTCAATCAATTTAAAAGGAAATTGCAAAAAAAATTGACGCTTGAAAATAACGAGCTATATGTTTTCCATACTCTGAAAAGAAACATATTTCCTCATTATGGTATGACATGGAAAAATCAATCCAAAAATTAAAGAGGAGATAACTGCTCATTTGTCTCAACTGATGATGGCTTTTTATGAAAAAGATGTAAATTTAACGCTGCACGGTTGTGTTGATTTGCTAGTTGTTATTATAGAAAACCCTCATAATTATTAGTTTCCTTAAAATTATTTTTCAATGAGCATTTGTAAAATATGAATTGGCTATTACAGATCATTCTTTACTGAAAGTATATCACAATGGTTTGTACCATGGGGTTGTGCTAATTAAAAATCATATTGTAATTGGTATTAACTGATTCAGTCAATATTTACCACTATACATGTAAATGTTATTTTTTATCTATCAAGTATGTGTGCAGCCTGTAAGAATGATGTGAATATACCGATGTGTTTGGTGTGGAAGTTGGGTTGTGACGCTTGTGTA